TACACTGATTTCCTCTGGGTGACAGGCAAATCCTGTTATTTTACTTATGAATGGGCCTCATTAAGCAGGGAAAAAATTGTTGGTGCAACCTGTTCCCTTTTAAATTAAACATGTTAAAGTTGATAGATACTCCTAATTCTCCACTCTGCCTTTTATGCAGTGCAATAACATTGTTCATGTTGTTGGGATGTCTTGAGTTTGCATAATCTGATTTTCATTTCCTGACAGCTGCAGATCATTCTTTGGTAACTAAATTAAAAGCTGCTTCTCTCAAGAATAGTTCGTCTCTCCAGCAACACCACCCTTTGAAAAAAAGATGTATAGACACATAATGACTATCTCCAGTAAGAGCCAAGCATTTCTACTCTATGTAGCCTGCTCTGCCCACTTCCTAGCTGGACTGGACTCACAGGGAGCTCTTCCTGTTTTATATCATGCCATCAACTGTTCACCAGGGTGCCCTGGGGGAAAACCAGAAACAATGGCCACAAACTCCTGGAAGATAGTTTTAGGCTGAACATTAGGAAAAACTTCTAAAACTTCATAACTAGGATGTCCAGACTATGGAACAAGCTCCCCCCAGAGGTGGTGCAGTCATCTGCCCTAGAGGTCTTCAAGAGAAGACTGGAAGGTCACCTGGCAGGGGTCATCTGACCCCAGATGTCTTTCCTGCTCATGCAGGGGGCTGGACCCGATGATCCTTCAGGGTCCCTTCCAGCCCTATGATTCTATGATCAACCTCTTGGCTACCTTCACAGTTGAATCTGTCTTCCTAAGGATTTGTTGGTACCAAAGGTACCTTTGGGACTCAAAATTCCCATCTGGTGCTTAATCTTTTGAACTCTGCTGCAGAGGGGACCATCGTGTATGTGTGGCAGAGATAGGAGGGGGTGCAACACACCTTAAGAAATGCAGCTTCAGCATCCTTCTTCCATTCTTCCTCAGTTCTTGTCTGTTTGTCCTTCAGATAGTCCATTTCCCAAGCTAAGTACAGATGGTCAAAAAGCCCAAGGCTGAATCAATTCAGTCTTCGCAGGTTAGTTTAAGCTGCGTAGATTGAACCGATAAGTGAGTGAACAGACATTCACTGTTGATTCCAGAAATGCAGCTACATGCCAGCAGTGGCCCAGGCCAGAACCTGGGGGGCACTAAAACACACAACCCTGCTGGGCTGGAGCAGACAGCTTGGGCCACAGTTAGCCTGCCTATCCTGCAAGGGAGGAGAGGCTTCTGGGGGAGATGCAAAGCATCCTGGGATGCTGGGGGGCTGAATTAACTTGAATCTGGAGGGGATCTGAGACAAAAGTTCAATAAACCGATTTAACCTAAATCAGTTCAGTCTGATACTACATCCATCCAAGTTTATCTTAAACTGGTTTCAGCCATTTTGAAAGCAGTTTATGTGCACTGAACTTCTTTTGTGTTACAGATTTGAGCTGGTTTCTGATAACTTTTACTGATTTATGTGTCATTTCTGTCTCTAGCTCCAGAAACTGGAGTCACAATATGCTCTGCTCATGAAGTTTTGGACACTGAAAGCCAACACATCTGTTCCAACCTATTTCTAGGCTTCGGTAGAAATTTCATGAGACTGAAATTTCAACCCAATACTACCATGAGGCTGTAGAATCGGCCCAGGTGATTGAGAAGAGGGGAAATTTACTGAGATACAGCAACCACAGCTAACATTTTAGCTCTGGGCAAACAGACTAATTTCTGGCACCTCACCCCAACTCTTCCCTCCTGGTTCTATGCAAGTTGCTACACCTATGGTGGACAAGTGATGGCTGCAGATTAGGGAGCACAGGAGTGAAAAGTGGACAGATACATTCCCCGTGCATTTTAAAAAGGAATGCAAGCCAGAGAATCCTCCAAATGCGACAGCCTAATTGCTGCAACAGGAGATGAACAAAATCAGTAGTGGTGCTCATTGGAAGGCCAGATACTGTGCCACCTCCGAGATGAGGATGACTTGGCTGGGATCTCTGCCTGACTCTTGACTCGCAGCAACATGTTGTTGTAAGGTTAAGAATTTTGCATAATAGAAGCTATTCTCACGCTTAAAAAGGCACGTGAACGCGAGTTAAGAACATCAGCTGCCGCCTCACAGCTTTTTTGCTGGAAGAACTCTAAAGACATCTAGTCAAATGACTGACCACAATGTCAGCCTAAGAGGAGCAATAGTTGCAATCAGGATGAGACCTACAGGCCTTCAGTTTGAAATGTCAAGACCTCTGGATTAATAAACCCTTCAAAGAAAAGATTGAGCGTGACTTACCATGGCTTGCTTTACACACACATTGGCTTGTACATGCTCTCAGCTGGCTTTTTCCGGGCTGGCTGAGCACTGCATAATGCTTGAGACCTGATTTGGGGAACATTTACAATAAGAAGCTGTTGAAGTGGCACTTGTAGCGACTTTTATGGAACAAAACAACTGCTCAGCTTCCAATGGAGTGCACAGATCACACTTAACTAGGCCTCTAAATATACTCTAGCGGCAGCCTGGCCACTCAGTGATCCTCGGGTGTTTTGGGGCAGTAAAAATACCTCTTGATCTGGGAACTATAAACTGGAGCCTAAAGCATACACGAAATTTTGTTAGGCCATGACCCCTTGGCAATTAAACTGAGATTTATTTCTTTTTGGTAAATTTGTCAAAAACATGTTTTGCTCATCCGGAATCTATGTATTTCAGTGGGAGTTTTTTCCTCCTAGGGTCAAATCCCAAAGGCCCAGATTAAAAAAGGGCTTTAAAGCTTCTAATTCCCACTGAACTTGCTGAGGATCTAGGTCCCCAGAATGGTACCTTAATACTTTTTTTTTTTTCATCTGGCTTAAAACTGCACAAGGGGGAGGTCTGAATTATGCCATGAACTGGACTGTTTTTGGCATGTTTTTGATCATGTAGTTGGGGGTGGGCAGATGTAGTTAATCAGCTGATTAACTTGCATATACACATATAATTACTGACTTTGATACCATATATTAGATACAGAGTGATCTTAAAAAAAAATCTTTACCATATCATGTTATTGGTTCCTCCATAGAAATGTTTCTATACTCCCATGCCACACCCAAGGGGTGTCCATCCCGACAAGAAGCAAGGGGGGCAGGAGTGTCCGAAAGCCCCCCTGGCTCACCAAGGGCGTCCGGGGATGCCTGCTTGCCAAAAAGGCGGCGTACGCCCGGTGGAAGGGGGGTGAAATCTCCAAAGAGGCGTATACCTCCTCTGCTTGGGCCTGTAGGCGAGCTGTTAGGAAGGCCAAGGCGGACATAGAGCTCGGATTAGCGTCCAAGATTAAGGATAACAAAAAGTCCTTTTTCAAATATATTGGGAGGATGAAGAAGGCGCCGGGTAATGTGGGACCCCTGCAGGATACGCTGGGCAATCTGGTGGTTGCATCAGAGGAGAAAGCGGACCTCTTTAACCAATTCTTCACCTCCGTTTTCTTGTGCAGGGACCGGGACTTCCCTGCTGTGATAGAAGCCGGACTCGAGGGGATCGCCTTCAGACCTCAGGTTGGGGAGGAC